AGATACTCAAGATTTTAACTAGATTAGAACGGTTCGCCATTTAAAAATTTAAATTAAAAATGGGAAAGCGAGACTATGTCTCGAATATACCAGTGCTCTAGTTACCACAATGCACACATCTTGTCAAAACAGTGATAACTCGGCTCAAAATGAAGTAATTTGAATGAAATTTTCATTTTACATTATCTATTTTTGAGCTATTATAACAATAATGGTCAGCTCTTTATCTAAATCTTACTTAGTGTATCTTTAACTTTAGCCTCTAAAGCGTCAACAAGATATTTTAAAGTGATCAAGGGCAATAACTCTGGCAGTAAATATCGGAGATCGCTGAAAATCAATATGATTCTTCGTCTCATGACCTTAAATACTGTGTATATATATATTATTAAAAAAAAGTAGGGGATATTTGATTTTGGGGGCATAATACTAAAATATGCAAATGACTACGAAAAAAGTCACTATAGAACCTAACAGAAGAAACATTTCCAGTTACATGTGACGCCTAAACGCACCAATAGCTACCGCATGGAATGCAGGTGATGCTTGGGATCATCATGGGGGTCCAACCCAAGATTTGCACGACTCTGACTTTGAATGTTACAGTCATTGTGGCATTGAATTCCAGGGTGGAAACATCAGTTTAATTGTTTTAGTGACCAGAAAACAAATTTTGATATGCGTCGGCTTACCCAAAATGAAAGGTTACGTGCCCTTGGCATGCTACAGATCGGCACAAGACAGGCGGTTGTGGCGCGGACGATGAATGTTTCTCAGTCTGTCATAAGCAGGCTATGGTCCAGATACCGTGATACACAATCTGTACAGGACAGACCACGCTCAGGTCGACCAAGGGCGACAACTCAAGCCCAGGATCGATTTATCCGTACCTTGGCCTTGAGAAATCGTGTCATCACAGCAAATCAGATCAGCGCTCGTCTTCAAACAGACACTGGTGTGAGAGTGAGTGGCCAGACGATTCGGAATCGACTGCATAGGGGTCACCTTCGCGCCCGACGTCCTCGCGTGATCCCTTGTTTGAGAGATCATCACATTCAGGCAAGACGTCGTTGGTGTAGGGATCGTCAACACTGGGATAATCGATGCTGGAGCAATGTGATGTTTTCAGATGAGTCAAGGTTCACTGTTGATTTTTTGGACAGACGTAGGAGGGTGTGGCGTCGTCGAAACGAGCGCTTCCAAGACGTTAACGTCATCAGACATGATCGATTTGGGGGTGGTTCTGTTATGGTGTGGGGAGGCATCACTGTTGCTGGAAGAACGGCTTTACATGTTGTTGCAGGGCGTGTTACAGGCCAGTACTACCGGGACAACATCTTGGCAGTCCATGTTGTGCCGTTCGCACGACGTCATGGCCGCCGTTTCATCTTCCAGGATGACAACGCAAGATGTCACAGGGCCAGGATCGTTACAGGTTACCTCCAACAACAGAACATCACCACATTACCTTGGCCAGCACTGAGTCCCGACCTCTCCCCCATCGAGCATGTCTGGGACATGCTTGGACAGAGGTTACGTCAACGTCAACAACGTCCTGCCAATGTCCAAGAACTTGCTGCTGCGTTGCAACAGGAATGGGACAATCTGGACCAAAATGACCTTAGACGTCTCATTAGGAGTATGCCACGTCGGATCAATGCTTGTTTGGCAAACAGAGGAGGATTTACCCGTTACTGACTTGGTTGTGATGCTGTGGTAACTTTGCTGTTTGACCCCGGGTATCATTTTACCCTTATAATGGTCAGTCTGTGCCTTACTTAGTCTAACGATCATTTGGAATAAATCGATGAATGTGAACTTCATTTCATTTTGTCATTTGTTTCTTCGTCAGTTTCATTAGGTGACTTTAATAACACTTAAAAATCAAATATCCCCTACTTTTTTTGAATAGTATATTTAAAGTCAATCGGATATTAACTTTAGCCTCTAGAGCGTCCACAAGATATTTGAAAGAAATGGGGTTTAACGTCCACTCGACTCAAACTAGGTCATTTCGGGACTAACACATGGTTCAATTTTTTTTCAATAAATCACTTACCGGAGGACCCAGAGAAAACCCACGTACACCCGGGGAATCAAAACACTGCCAATGTAGGCGTATAAAAATAAATTAGATATGATTTTTTCCCAAAAATATCTAGGTAAATTCACTTCAGAATTTGTGACATCACGCTAGCTGGTGGTCTCGGTCTAAGATTTAACCATCTTTAATATATAATTTGTGTTTAACCTATTTTAATGTAAAATAGACACGTTTTTCTGATATATACTCATCAAACCAGCGGCTGCCAGGCAGGATACGCCCACATTTTCAAGAGATGGATAGAAAACAAGCTAAAACGAAAATGATTTTTCCTACAATCAAGGGCCAATTAAGGAAATTACAATTTGATATGCGCAAATATCGAAAGGAACCAAGATCTTTGGGTTATAAACTTATATTTCAAGTTTCAACAAAATCGGACAATGTTGTGAGCTCTATAGGGTCTACAACCTTGATATACCATGTTTTTACGCTATTTGAGAACGAAGGGCGGCCATTTTGATGTCAATTTTGGGTCGATTTTCACGAAATTCGAACTCAGCCGTCCTTAGCGTGTAACGGTGAATAATACGTTTTTTTTAAATTGGAAAAAAATTATGACCTCTATAGGGTCCACAAGCTAAAAACATGATTTTTCGTACAACCACGGGCCATAATTCAGGAAGTTACGGTCAGATATGCGCGAATATCGAAAGGAACCGAGATCTTTGGGTTATAAACTTACATTTCAAGTTTCAACAAAATCGGATAAAAATTGTGACCTCTATAGGGTCCACAAGCCAAAAACGTGATTTTTCGTACAAACAGGGGCCATAATCCATGAAGTTTCGATCCGATACATGCCAATATCGAAAGCGGGCGAGATCTTTTGGAGATACACCTATATTTCAAGTTTCGTTAAAATCGGATAAGAATTGTGACCTGTAGAGTGTACACAAACAAATTGTGGACGGATGGACGGACAGGGGCTACGGCATAATACGTCCACATGAAAATGTGGGTGTATAAAAACGCGATTTTTCGTACAATCAGGAGCCATAATTCAGGAAGTTACGGTCCAATATGCGCGAATATCGAAAGGAACCGAGATTTTTGGGTTATAAACTTATATTTCAAGTTTCAACAAAATCGGATAAAAATTGTGACCTCTATAGGGCTCACAACCTTGATATACCATATTTTTACGCTATTTGAGAATGAATGGCGGCCATTTTGTCTGTCAATTTTGGGCCGATTTTCATGAAATTCAAACTCAGTCGTCCTTAGGGTGTAACGGTGATATAATAATACGTTTTTTTAAATCGGATAAAAATTATGACCTCTATAGGGTCCACAAGCTAAAAACGCAATTTTTCGTACAATCAGGGGCCATAATTCAGGAAGTTTCTGTCCTGTATTAGAGAGACGTTTACTACGGTTTACGGTCAAATAAATTTCTGGATGTCATTTTCTTAACTTCCGTATATAAATCTAAACGGAGTATAAGACGAATGCTGGACTTTGCTGAAAAATGTATCGACGGTAGTTTTGGCAGAATTTGAAACCGGTACGGATGGGCAGTAGTCGGCACGGTTTCATTCTATGGTATTACGATGTCATGTTATTTTGTAGGAATATTATTGACATAAATTTTAATACCGTACAGGAAATAAATATGAACCAGCAGCTGCTAGGCAGGATACGCCCACATTTTCGAGAGATGGATAGAGAACAAGCTAACAAGAATGTGATTTTTCCTACAATCAAGGGCCATAATTCAGGAAATTACAATTCGATATGCGCATATATCGAAAGGAACTGAGATCTTTGTGTTATAAACTTACATTTCAAGTTTCAACAAAATTGGATAAAAATTGTGACCTCTATAGGGTCCACAACCTTGATATACCATATTTTTACGCTATTTGAGAACGAACGGCGGCCATTTTGTCTGTCAATTTTGGGGCGATTTTCACAAAATTCAAACTCAACTGTCCTTAGGGTGGAACGGTAATATAATAATACGGTTTTTAAAATCGGATAAAAATTATGACCTCTAATGGGTCCACAAGCTAAAAACATGATTTTTCGTACAATCAGGGGCCATAATTCAGGAAGTTACGGTCCGATATGGGCAAATATTGAAAGGAACTGAGATCTTTGGGTTATAAACTTATATTTCAAGTTTCAACAAAATCCGATAAAAATTGTGACCTCTATAGGGCCCACAACCTTGATATACCATATTTTTACGCTATTTGAGGATGAATGGCGGCCATTTTGTCTGTCAATTTTGGGCCGATTTTCATGAAATTCAAACTCAGTCGTCCTTAGGGTGTAACGGTGATATAATAGAACGTTTTTTTAAATCGGATAAAAATTATGACTTCTATAGGGTCCACAAGCTAAAAACGTGATTTTTCGTACAATCAGGGGCCATAATTCAGGAAGTTACGGTCCGATATGCACGAATATCGAAAGGAACCGAGATCTTTGGTTTATAAACTTACATTTCAAGTTTCAACAAAATCGGATAAAAATTGTGACCCATATACCATATTCTTACGCTATTTGGGAACGAACGGCGGCCATTTTGTCTGTCAATTTTGGGCCGATTTTCACGAAATTCGAACTCCGGACGGACAGGGGCGACGGCATAATACGTCCACATGAAAATGTGGGCGTATAAAAATAACCAGGTGCACCTATTTTTTTTATTACGTATGAATTTGAATATTTTGTTGACACATGGTTTGAAAACGCCTGCTTAAATAACGATAAGAGTTATGTCCCTTTATTTTCGTGAAGAAAATTTCTGACAAATAAAATTTTGAAATCCCATCACTGGTCCAGACATTTGGGACCACAGGTGGACAGGGGCGACCACAATATACGTCCACATGAAAATTTGGGCATATAAAAATTAAATTTTGGTGGAATGTCTATACTTTCTTACCATCAGAATCATAGCCCTTGGCAATTAGTTCATCAGGTGAATCTTCTAGATATAAAACCCTGGTGGTTGTTTCAACTTCTAATCTAGCTATCTTACTTACTATTACATCACACCGTAATATATCTCCTGTTACTGCAATTTAAATATACATTAACTAATAAGAACAATTTTTCCCTTACCAATAAGAGAGAAATTCGATTTATCCCATTACTTAATACTTAATATTAACATGGTAATTTTTAGACTAACTTGTAGGAAATCTGCAAATCAATAATCCGCTTCCACATCTGTAGGTATTTTTGGAAGATAAACCTAATAGAACCCCAGATTTGCATAGATACAATATAACAGCCCTTGTGTCCTTTAAACTACACAACAGTAGAAACCCAATGGTTTTCTATGATTCTCAACAGATTTGAACAGTTTTCCAACAATGGTTTGTAACTTAACATTAAATACAGAAACCCTGCCAAAACAACACAACTAAATAGTGATGGTCATATATGACTACTATCGGTTTTACCAATATCAGATATTGACAGCGAAATATATCAGCCGATACGGATACAATTACCGATAGTGGATATAAAACTATTACACATTAAAATGTCTCGAATGTCACGATAATCGATGTAGTTACATGCCATTGTTAGTCGCAAAATGCCTGGTAATATATACAGTGTACCTCAGGAATCAAAAGGAACATGATGTTATTTTAAGGGCGTTGCCATGTCTAACCTATGGTAACTTTGCCATTAATTTTATGTTATTTTTCAAACTCTGTTCCACATAAATTTGGTATGATCGTTAAATAGACATCTGAAGCTGTGATTCAAGTCATAGTTTGGGCACATATCTTTTGTGGTTTTAAAGATATTAAATTTTGAAATCAGTTTAAATATGATCAATTTTTGTCATAAATCTAAAAAGTTCTCAGTCTTGCCTGATCCGAATTAAATAATTTTTGGCATGCAAATAGCTAAGCTAGTGTTTAATAAAATTACAGGAGTTTTTTTTCATGGCGCCAATAATAATGCCAAAATTCCAGAAAATCAAAAGATTTCATAGGTCGTTATATAAACTGATCTGAAATAAAATCTATTACATATAATCACAATTGGTCCCATAGAAATGTTCCTCGGAATGTAAGCTTCAATTTGATGCCAAGTTTGTTAAAATCGGTTGAGTAGAACTTGTATTTTCTTCATTGTTTTAATTGGTTACAAAAATGGTCCGTTCAAATCGTGATGTATTCGTGTAATAATTAATGCAATTTGTAAAAAATTGGACAAAATATCATGAATTAGCAATGAGTAGACTTTGCTGCTCCTGTCTGTGTAGTTTATGAAAAATAATATGATATCATCGTCCCACAAAACAAAGAAAATGAATGGAGACATTTTTTCGTTATTGGCAGCTGTCAAAAAGACTGGTTATCCGAGATCGAATGAATTCCCCCTATTCTAGTTTTTGTGTATCAGAAATGACCAAAACCAGGCTACAGAAGCATATTTCTATGCCGAAACAAAGAAAGACGAGCTACTATACTTATCATAACGTTCAAAACAAATTTGGATACTATTTTTAGATCAACCAAGGTCAGGGATTCCCTCCCTTTGACTGACAACCCTGACCTATCCAGCGAAGTAAAAGTTTCTTTCTGTTGACAATTTAAGTTTTTAGGGGAAAAGGAGACAGGTACTAAAGTATCACCGAGAAATAGTTTGAAAAGTTAGTGCGAATCTTAGACATGGCAAGGAAAAAATAAAATATTCTCCCTCCCTTCACCTTTTCCCACCTTTTCTAAAACTGCTACGTATTATGACAAGTGTGGTGAAAATACAAATAGTAAATGAGATAAAACGAAGAAAAACCAGCGGCTGCCAGGCAGGATACGCCCACATTTTCGAGAGATGGATAGAAAACAAGCTAAAATGAAAGCAACTTTTCCTACAATCAAGGGCCATAATTCAGAAAATTACAATTCGATATGCGCAAATATCGAAAGGAACCAAGATCTTTGGGTTATAAACTTACATTTCAAGTTTCAACAAAATCGGATAAAAATTGTGACCTCTATATGGTCCACAACCTTGATATACCATATTTTTACGAAATTCAAACTCAACCGTCTGTAGGGTTTAACGGTGATATAATAAAACGATTTTTTAAATTGGATAAAAATTATGACCTCTATAGGGTCCACAAGGAACCGAGATCTTTGTGTTATAAACTTACATTTCAAATTTCAACAAAATCGGATAAAAATTGTGACCTCTATAGGGTCCACAACCTTGATATACCATATTTTTACGCTAGTTGAGAACGAAGGGTGGCCATTTTGTCTGTCAGTTTGGGGCCGATTTTCACAAAATTCTAACTCAGCCGTCCTTAGGGTGTAAGGGTGATATATTAACACAGTTTTTCAAATCGGATAAAAATTATGACCTCTATAGGGTCCACAAGCCAAAAAACGCGTTTTTGTGTACAATCAGGGGCCATAATTCATGAAGTTATGGTCTGATATGCTCCACAACCTTGATATACCATATTTTTACGCTATTTGAGAACGAAGGGTAGCCATTTTGTCTGTCAGTTTTGGGCCAATTTTCACGAAATTCGAACTCAGCCGTCCTTAGGGTGTAACGGTGATATATTAACACGTTTTTTTAAATCGGATAAAAATTATGACCTCTATAGGGTCCACAAGCCAAAAAACGTGTTTTTACTTATAATCAGGGGCCATAATTCAGGAAGTTACGTTCCGATATGCGTGAATATCGAAAGGAACCGAGATCTTTGGGTTATAAACTAACATTTCAAGTTTAAACAAAATTGGATAAAAATTGTGACCTCTACAGTGTTCACAAGCCAAAAACGTGATTTTTCGTACAATCAGGGGCCATAATCCATGAAGTTACGATCCGATACATGCCAATATCGAAAGGAACCGAGATCTTAGGGTGAAAAACCTATATTTCAAGTTTCATTGAAATCGGATAAAAATGGTGACCTGTAGACTGTTCACAAACAATTGTGGACGGACGGACGGACGGACAGGGGCGACGACAATATACGTCCACAGGAAAATGTGGGCGTAAAAAAATGCTGCGAAGTAGTAGGAATTGGAACTACTTCACATCAGCGACAGTGATCAAAGGAGGACCATTGTTTATTTCATAGTTTATAAATTCTAAATAACCAGCGGCTGCCAGGCAAGATACGCCCACATTTTGCAAGAGATGGATAGAGAACAAGCTAAAAACAAAAGTGATTTTTTGTACAATTAGGGGTCATAATCTTTGGTATATAAAGATATATATTAAGTTTCATCAAAATCTGATAAAAATTGTGACCTCTAAAGGGTCCACAACTTTCGTATACATACTTTTACACAATTTGCCTTCAAAGAGCGGCCATTTTGTCAAGAACCAAGATCTTAGTGTGTAACAGTGATATATTCAAGGCCCACAAGCTAAAATCAGGATTTTTGGAACAAGTTACGATTCGATATGCACGAATATCAAAAGGAACCAAGATCTTTGGGTTATAAACTAGTATTTTATCCGGCGGTTTTGGTCCCATTCTCACGAAATTCGAACTCAACTGACATTACGCTGTAATGGTGATATATTCAAACGTTTTTTTAAAATCGGATAATAATTGTGACGTCTTGAGGAACCACAAGCTAAAAACAGGATTTTTCGTATAATCAAGGGCCATAACTCAGGAAGTTACAATCCGATATGCAAGAATATCGAACGGAACCAAGATCTTTGCGTTATAAACATTACATTTCAAGTTCCATCAAAATTGGATCAAAATTGTGACCTTCAGAGGGTCCACACACAACCTTGATACACCATATGTTTACGCTATTTGCGTATGAGGGGCGGCCCTTCAATCTGGCAGTTTTGGTCCGATTTTCACAAAATTCGAACTCACTCTACATTACGGTGATATTTTCGAACATTTTATTAATTCGGATAATAATTGTGACCTCTAGAGGGACCACAAACTAAAAATGTGACTTCTTGTACAATTCAGAATATCGAAAGGAACCTAGATCTTTGGGATGTAACCATGCATTTCAAGTTTCATCTAAATCAAATCAAAATTTTGACCTCTAGAGGTTCCAGAACCTTGATATATCAGTTGTTTACACTATTTGCATACAAGGGACGGCCATTTTGTCCCAAAATAAATAGATGACACATTAATTAATCGCACATTTATTTTTTTCAAAAGTATCGAGCAATCAAACTATACACTAAGTTTCATCTCTCTCTATCAGATAGAATTAAGATTATCTTGTCCAAAAGCATCGACCAATGAAATTAAATAGCTCTGCTTAGCTTCAGCTCAAAATGTTAACCATTCACCTATGAACATCTACATCAAGTTTAAACATTCTACCTCAATTAAAAGCAGAGTTGTTATGTTCCAAAGTCTTGAGCAATCAAATTGCTTATCGCTCCATAGCCTAACAAGCCAACAGTGAGGCTGATGTCCCCCGCCGAAATAGGAAAATAATTAGAGGACACATATAAATTTATCACAAATTATCTATTACAAAGTATTGAACAATCAAACAGTATATCTTTACTTATAGTCTAACAATCAAAGTAGGAGAGTTATTGTTTTCCAAAGTCTCGACCAATCAAATTGCGTATCGCTCTGCTTACCCTGAGCAGAAAATGCTCATTATCAAACTTAGTCAAGGTATTACTGTAATGAAACTATACACCAAGTTTCATCAATCTCACTTAATTAGAACTAAAGTTATCGTGTCCCAAAGCATCAACCAATCAAATTGCTTATCTCTGCTTACCCTAAGCGGAAAATGCTCATCTTCGAACTCCATCAAGGCATTGACCTAATCAACACATACACCAAGTTTGAACATTCTAGCTCAATTAGGAAGAGAGTTATCGTGCCCCAAAGTATCAACCAATCAAATTGCTTATCTCTGCTTACCCTAAGCGGAAAATGCTCATCTTCGAACTCCATCAAGGCATTGACCTAATAAACACATACACCAAGTTTGAACATTCTAGCTCAATTAAAAGTTATCGTGTCCCAAAGCATCAACCAATCAAATTGCTTATCTCTGCTTACCCTAAGCGGAAAATGCTCATCTTCGAACTCCATCAAGGCATTGACCTAATCAACACATACACCAAGTTTGAACATTCTAGCCCAATTAGGAAGAGAGTTATCGTGTCCCAAAGCATCAACCAATCAAATTGCTTATCTCTGCTTACCCTAAGCGGAAAATGCTCATCTTCGAACTCCATCAAGGCATTGACCTAATAAACACATACACCAAGTTTGAACATTCTAGCTCAATTAGGAAGAGAGTTATTGTGTCCCAAAAAGTGTGACGGACGGACGGACGGACGGACGGACGGACGGACGGACGGACGGACGGACGGACGGACGGACGGACGGACAGACAGACAGACAGACAGACAGACAGACAGACAGACAGACAGACAGACAGACAGACAGACAGACGGACGAACCCATTTTAATAGTCCCCTGCTTTCTTCGAAAGGCGGGGGACAAAAAGAAAATTCTCACCATCAAACTTTGTCAAGGTAATGATATAATGAATCTATATTTAGAGTTTCATCACTCCAATCAGATTGCTTATCTCTGCTTACCGTAAACAGACAATGATTATCATCAAACTAGATCAAGGCATTCACCTAATGAATGCCTACATCAAGTTTGAACATTCTACCTCAATTAGAAGAAGAGTTATTGTGTTCAAACGTCTCGGCCAATCAAATTGCTTAACGCTCTGCTTACCCTTAATTAAAACTAAAGTTATCGTGTCCCAAAGAATCAACTAATCAAATTGCTTATCTCTGTTTACCCTAAGCAGAACATTGTCATCTTCAAACTCCATCAAGGCATTCACCTAATAAACACCTACTTTTGGCTAAATTACAACAGGTTAATTATTACTTGTTAATAAAGAAGTCAACCAACTTGCTTGTCGGCTACAACAACAGTCATACCGTAATGAGAATTGGCTATATGTGGTTCATAATCCAAGTAATTAGCACATTTAATGGTGATTTTGATAATCCTGATAATCCGGTAAAAACACAAAACAAGCTTGCTGACAATTCATAATAGGTCCAGTAAAATACGCCACGTGGCGAAAGACGTTCTCGTCATGGTTTGCGAATCGACGTTTTCCACGCTCTGTCCGTGTGAATTCCAGGTACCTAAAATAATAACTGGATCATACATTGATGGATTCACTGACCAGTTGTTAGTTAAATTTAAATCTTCATTGAATATAATCCCCCGATAGAACACCAAATACACAGAGAGAGAAACAGTGGATATTTTCCTGACAGAATCTCCAATGCTGAATTCCAATGACACGTGACATATCGGTTGGAATTATGTCAATAAACCAGTTTTAAATAGCGTTTAAAGTTATGAATTTTTAATTTATACACAAGCTGACAAGAGGCTTAATTTCAAAAATATTATTGAAGGCTATATCGTAGTCGTACAGAATTTTATTTTATAGCAATATCATTTATGGTTTTCACGCGATCATTGTGCCGTTTGTCTCTCATCCATGAATGAATAAAAACTTTTGCAAGTTACCTGACTAGTTATGTGATGGAAAAAAGACTACAAATTTTGCTATGAAGAAATCTCATGGTGCCATATCAGCTTATTTTGGAGAGAGAGAGAGAGAGAGAGAGAGATGGGGTTTAATGTCCACTCGACACAGACTAGGTCATTTCGGGATAAACATATGGTTTAATTTTATTTTAATAATTCGCTTGCGCGTAGGGGTCTTTAGCAGTGGGAGGAAACCGGAGGACCTGGAGAAAACCCATAAGGTTGGACTGCTGATTTTGGTACAGCATTTTCTGGATATTACTTTTGACACTACCGGTATTTAAGTGTTTACCAAAACTTCCAACCGATTGTTTTATTTTTTTTATCATTGTTGTTGTATTTTGGTGTTTTAGATTAACACAATCAACACAAGTTTGTTTTATAGACAGTAGTATCAAGATTTGGATGATTCGCGCAGATTCCATATATGAGAATCCTCTTGGATTCTCGCAAAAAAATGACGAATTTCTAGCCCTGACTTCGAGAAATAACACTCATGCTACCATTTCAAAGCCTATGAGACATTAGCGATAATAGATCTGAATCCATAGCAATTTCCTAGCATGAAAACACAGCGAAACACTTGCAATTTAATCTCCAGTTCCAACTGGGGTTTTTTTCCACAGTGATAAGCGATTTGGAATTTGGAAAGAACTGTACCGGTATGTGTTCTAGTAACCTTATATCAAATTTATATACTGACCAGAATTTTCAGCTAAAACTACAGTAGTCATCTGATGCAAAGCTTTAGATATTGCAGATACCTGGGCTGCCACTGCACATTCTCCATCTGTACTATTAATTAATGTTACTTGTGCAACTTCAGCACGCGTTGTTCTCCTGCAACAAAGCAACCTATATTTTTGGTACCGTACATAATATATGTTATTCAAAAGAATACAAGAAGACTCAATCACGAACATCTTGTACTCTTGGACATGTTAGATGTAGGGCAAACAGTATCAGGCATCCAAATAATGCTATCTGGAGTACCAGTACATAAACTGGGTTCAATTACAAATAACAAACACAAAGATAGGTTGCCAGGCAACAAAACATATACCTACAGCAGCTAAATCGTCCGAGCGGTCGACAAGAGTTGTCGTATATTTATTCTTTTGTAGGTAATTAGGGGGCATTTAATAGATAATTTCATACAGACAACATTATAATTTTCATCGTTTGAGGGTTCACAAGGTTCTAAAAACTAAAACAAGGGCTGTAAATCTGGAAGTAATCTACAGAAATTCTTGAAATTCGACAGGCTTTTCCGTTTTACTAATTCAAATAATGCATATCAATTTCATATAGATCGGATAACTTTTGTCGTTCGAACATTCACAAGGTTAAACAAAGTAAAACAAGGGCCAGTAATTGACAGAAATTGCTCACATTCAATAGGCTTCTTCATTTCACTAATTTAAATGATGCATATAAATTTCATACAGATTGGGTGATAACTTTTGTCGTTCAAGCATTCACAAGATTCAACAATGTGAAACAAGGGCCATAACTCTAGATGTAATTAACGTAAATTTGCTGAAACTCAATAGGCTTGTTCGTTTTCTACTAATTTAAACGTTACCTATAAATTTCATGCAGATCGTATAATAACTTTTGTCGTTAAAGCATTCACAAGGTACAACGGAATGAAACAAGGGCCATAACTCACGTTGTAATTTAAATGATGCATATCAATTTCAAACAGATCGGATGATAACTGTTGTCATTAGAGCATTCACAAGATTCAACAAAGTGAAACAAGGGCCATTACTCTAGATGTAATTAACGGAAATTTCTGAAATTCAATAGGCTTCTTTGTTTTACTAATTCAAATGATGCATATAAATTTTATACAGATCGGTTGATAACTTTTGTCGTTAGAGCGTTCACAAGGTACAACAAAGTGAAACAAGGGCCATAACTCGAGAAGAAATTAACGGAAGTTATTGAAATTAAATAGGATTCTTCAATTTAAAAAAAATCAGATGATAAATGTAGTCTGTAGAGTGTTCACAAGAAATTGTGGACGACGGACGCACGGACGGACCGACATGAACATGTATTTTGGGATAATTTGTTCTCTGAACAAATTAAATTACAGTACATGAAATTACTTTAAAACCTCATAGTTACCGAAATGTCACATGACCGACTGTTGATTTCATGTGTTTGTCTACATAAAGAATTCCACTTAAATCCGTCCGTTATATGTCACTTGTCCGTTTAATAGTATGTTCGGCACTAGATCGATGAAACGTTTTTATACGCCCACATTTTCACACCATCTTTGTGGACACTCTACAGGTCATAACTTGAAATATAGGTAAATCTGACATTGTATGGGATCGTTACAATATGTCGGATTACGCAGTGTGTCGGAATACTCAGATTTCTCAATGCCCGAAGTATTATTGTAACTTCGAAAACCGGGAGTATTATTACAATGTGGCTTTTACATTCAAAATTTTATAACATTAATTTTTATTTCATTTAACATGCGTAGGCATTTTGAATAGGTCAAGTCTGTCGTTACTTTATCTTCTTCGTCGTCTTCAGTTGTTTGCACACTTGCCTTTGGTGTCACGTGTTCATTGACAATCTGTCGTTCTATGTCCAAGTTGTCGTCACAAGGTTCGGATAGATCCATAGGGTGAACAAACTAAGGTATTCAGTTTCAATCGGCATGCGCAACGAATGTTTCCAACAGGTGCTAGGAATATTTTACGACTGTGAATAATTCGTGGGAAAATATGTGAGTATTCTTGAGTATTTGTCACAACCGTCTTACAAGAGATTATAAAATTATCGAAGTGATCAACAAAGACCTACGCGAGCGAGTTTTAATCTCACAGATGATTGATTGGTGATTGCTTGTTAATCATTTGTGGCTTCACACCTACCGATTGAAGGCCGAATTATACAGTGTTGATTAAATGGAAATCATGTGACAGGACGGCTGATTGATGTCGTTATTCAGCATATTCAGAGTACAGATTTCTCAAAGATATTTGGGCTGAAATAATAAGGAAATAAATCGGGACATGAAAATGATGTCGGATTTCACAGAGTGCAGGAGCATTCAGAGGTCGGTTCCTTTCGAAATTGGCTTGTATGGGACTGTAACTTCATGAATTATGGCCCCTTATTCTATACACTAGATGTCATAATTTTTAGCCCATTTTGATGAAACTGAACATGTGTGTTTACAACCCAAAGATCTTGATTCCTTGCGATATTGGCGCATATCGGACCGTAACTTCCTGGATTATGGCCCCTAATTGAACAAAAAAACATGTATTCAGCCTGTGGAACTTATACAGGTCACAATTTAAAACTGATTTTAACCAGCGGCTGCCAGGCAGGATACGCCCACATTTCGCAAGAGATGGATAGAGCACAAGCTAAAAACAAACACGATTTTTTGTACAATCAGTGGCAATAATCCAGAAAGTTATGGTAGAAAATGCCCAAATATCAAAAGGGACTGAGATCTTTGGGATATAAAGATATGTTTTAAGTTTCATCAAAATCGGATAAAAATTGTGACCTCTAGAGGGTCCACAATCTTCGTAGCAAAGTTTTACACAATTTGCGTACAAAGTGCGGCCATTTTGTATAGAAAAGTTTCATTTCGGTTTTCCCGAAATTCTAATTCAACCTTCATTATGGTGGAATGGTGATATATTTAAACGGTTTTTAAAATCAAATAATAATTGTGACCTCTAGAGGGACCACAAGCTAAAAACGAGATTATTTGTACATTCAAGGGCCATAATTCAGGAAGATACAATCCGATACACGCGAATATCGAAAGGAACCAAGATCTTTGCGTTATAAACATGTATGTCAACTTTCATCAAAAACGGATCAAAATTGTGACCTTTAGAGGGTCCACAACCTTGATTTACCAGATGTTTACACTATTTGCGTACGAGGGGCGGCCATTTTGTCAAGCAGTTTTGGCCCGATTTTCACGAAATTCGAAGTCAACAAACATTATGGTGTAACGGTGATATATTCAAAAGTTTTTTCAAATCGATTAATAATTGTGACCCTATAGGGACCACAAGCTAAAAACTTGATTTTTCGTACAACCAGAGGCCATAATTCAGGAAATTACGATTCAATATGCGAGAATATTGAAAGGAACCAAGATCTTTGGGTTATAAACTTGCATTTCAAGTTTCATCAAAATCAGATCAAAATTGTGCCCTCTAGAGGGTCCACAACTTTCATATACCAGATGTTTACACTATCTGAGTACGAGGGCGGCCATTTTGTCCGTCAGTTTCGGTCCCATTTTTACGAAATTCGAATTCAACCATTCTTAGGGTGTAACGGTGCTATATTTACACGGTTTTTTGAATTGGATAAAAATTGTGAATTCTATGGGGTCCACAAGCTAACCAGCGGCTGCCAGGCAGGATACGCCCACATTTTCGAGAGATGGATAGAAAACAAGCTAAAACGAAAGTGATTTTTCCTACAATCAAGGGCAATAATTCAGGAAGTTACGGTCCGATATGCGCGAATATCGAAAGGAACCGTGATCTTTGGGTTATAAACTTACATTTCAAGTTTCAACAAAATCAGATAAAAATTGTGACCTCTATAGGGTCCACAACCTTGAGATACCATATTTTGAGAACGAACGGCTGCCAGTTTTGGGCCGATTTTCACGAAATTCGAACTCAACCGTCCTTAGGGTTTAACGGTGATATAATAATACGTTTTTTTAAATCGGATAAAAATTATGACCTCTATAGGGTCCACAAGCCAAAAAACGCGTTTTTGCGTACAATCAGGGGCCATAATTCAAGAAGTTACGGTCCGATATGCGCGAATATCGAAAGGAACCGAGATCTTTGGGTTATAAACCTACATTTCAAGTTTCAACAAAATCGGATAAAAATTGTGACCTCTACAGTGTTCACAAGCCAAAAACGTGATTTTTCGTACAATCAGGGGCCATAATCCATGAAGTTATGGTTCGATAGATGCCAATATTGAAAGGAACCGAGATCTTTGGGTGATAAACCTATATTTCAAGTTTCATTGAAATCGGATAAAAATTGTGACCTGTAGACTGTTCACAAAGAATTGTGGACGGACGGACGACAATATACGTCCACATGAAAATGTGGGCGTATAAAAACGTGATTTTTCATACAATCAGGGGCCATAATTCAGGAAGTTATGGTCCGATATGCACGAATATCAAAAGGAAATGAGATCTGTGGGTTATAAACATGCATTTAAAGTTTCATCAAAATCAGATCAAAATTGTGGCCTCTAGAGGGTCCACAACTTTCATATACCAGATGTTTACACTATTTGAGTAAGAGTAGCGGCCATTTTGTCTGTCAGTTTCGGTCCCATTTTTACGTAATTCGAACTCAACCATTCTTAGGGTGTAACGATGATATATTTACACGGTTTTTTGAATTGGATAAAAATTGTGACCTCTATGGGGTCCACCACAAGCTAAAAACATGATTTTTCATACAATCAGGGGCCATAATTCAGGAAGTTATGGTCCGATATGCACGAATATCGAAAGGAAATGAGATCTGTGGGTTATAAACGTGCATTTCAAGTTTCATCAAAATCAGATGAAAATTGTGACCTCCACAGTATCCACAACCCTGATACGCAATATTTTGACACGATTTGCGAACGGCGATATATTTACACGTTTTTTTTTAATCAGATAAAAATTGTGACCTCTATGGGGTCCACAAGCTAACCATCGGCTGCCAGCCAGGATACGCCCACATTTTGGAAGAACAAGCTAAAAACAAACAGGATTTTTTGTACAATCAGGGACAATAATCCAG